TAATCTCCTCACCTCATCTTTTCCCTCCCTAATCTATCCTCTGTGCAGCTGCCAACGTGATTTTCCAAAAGCATGGGTCTGACCATGTTAATTATCTACTCAAGAAACTTCAGGGCTCCCTCTTACCTTTGGGATAAAATAAAAACTCCTCTGGTATTTGAAACCCTTCACGATGTGGCCCCAACCTGCCTTTTCAGACTTACTGTGGGTAACCCCCTTTCCTGAATCCTATGCCCCAATCAAACATGACACGCTGATCACCTCCCTTTGCATGGGCTGTACCACGCCTGGGATGCCTTCCCTCCTCACCTATGCCTCTTTTAAGGCTCAGCTCAACCCAGAACCAGGAGAACACTATACACAGTAACAGCAGTATTGTATGATGATCAACTAGGAATGACTTAGCCGTTCTCAGCAACGCAATGATCCAAGATAATTCCGAAGGACCCATGATGAACAATGCTATCCACCTCCAGAGAAGGAAGTGATGAAGTCTGAATGCAGTCGAAGTATGATTTTTTTATTTTTTTTTCATTTTATTGGTTTGTTTCCTTTTATGATTAATATGGAAATGTTTTGCATGACCGCACATATCAAATTGCTTGCCTTCTCAATGAGGGGAGAGGGGTGGGAGGGAAATGCCAGGAGCAGAACAGAGGTCTGTACACAGCGTCCGCTCATCAGACCAAGGCCTCTGGTACTGCCAGTCATGAGGGCTTGTGGGAAATTGTTAAAATTTGATTGCACGGAGAAGCATGATGGCATGCTTGCATGGGTTCTGGCCAAAGGACAATGCTCTTGTGCTTTCCCAGTCACTGGTGGAGTTCACCAGGGATGTGTGCTTGCTCCCATGCTTTTTAGCATGATGTTTTCAACAATGTTGTCAGACACCTTCTATAAGGCCTAACAAGGCATTAAGGTCAGCTACCCAACTGATGGTAAATTCTTCAACTTGAAAAGGCTACAAGCCAAGACCAAAGTGGAGTGAGAGTTGGTGCGTGACTTTTTGTTCGCAGATGATTATACTCTCAATGCAGCCTCTAAAGCTGAGATGCAACAAAGTATAGGTTGGTTCTCTGCCACTTGTGCTAATTTTAGCTAATAATTAACACCAAGAAAAGAGAGGTTCTCCACCAGTCAGCCCACACCATCCACACGTGGAAACACTGGTTACAAAAAATGGAGGTTTGACCACTGTGGCAGTAGACTTTCCAGGGATGTCCACATAGATGATAAGATTGATGCATGCATTGCCAGAGTGAGCTCAGTGTTTGGGAGGCTCCGAAGGAAAGCATGGGAGAGAAGAGTGGGGGAGACTGCCTACCAAACTGAAGGTCTGCAGAGCCCTTGTGCTGACCTCACTGCTGTATGCCTGTTAAGCCTTCCATTTGAACTGTCTTAGAAGTGATACAAGGACACTCTCAAGAATTTTGGAATTGATTGTGAAACATGGAAGACACTGGCACAGGACTGCCCAGCGTGGCGTGCCCTCATCAAAGAAGGTGCTATGTTCTGTGAGCAAAGCAGAATTGAAGTAGCTCAGAATAAACATGAAACGCACAAATTTAGAGACATCTCCACTCCAAATGTTCCTCCGTTCTATTTGTGCCCGACCCGAGGTAGAGCCTTCAGAGCTTGCACTGGTCTGATCAGCCACACCTGGACACACTGTGCCTTGACTTCAACCTCGTGACGCCATTTTGGTCTTCTTCAAGAATGAAGGACAACCACCACCAACATGGAAATGAGTTTTGCACGACTGCATATGTATAACCTATATGAAATTGTGTGCCTTCTCAATGGTGGAGGGGAAGAGATTTGAAACTCAAAATTTTAAAAAATAAATGGTAAAAAATTTGACATTTGGGAAAAAATAGAATATTTTAAAAAAGATAGTTCAACTACCTTTCTTTTAACATAAAGCTTTCTTTTCCTCATCCCCACAGTTCTTGGTGCCCTCTCTCTCAAAATTATTTTTTGATCTATATCCTGTATGTCATTATTTATGTATCTGCCATCTTCTCCAACAGAATGTAAGCTTCTTGAGGGCAGTCACCATTTCTATTTTGTCTCTTACCCCTTGCACTTAGCACGCTGTTTGGCACATAGTAGGTATACAATAAATGCTAGTTGATTGAACCGAGCTTCATGCAACATGATCTCACCGTCCTTCCTCATCCTCTGGATGCTCTCCAGTTTATCAATGTCCTTCCTCAAATGTGGTGCCTATACCTACATGCCATGCCCCAGACAGTTTTCTAGGGGAGAGGTACAGTGGGACTCAGACGTCCCATAATCCTGAGCTGCCATGTGTGTCCTGACTTGGTGCTGAGCTTGCGGTCCACTGAAACCCCCAGATCTTTTTTTTTTTTTTAAAAGAACTGTCTAGTTATACCTCCCCCATCTCATACTTAGAGAGTTTTGGACACAAGTGTACAACTTCACATTTGTCTTCTTGAATTTCATCTAATCAGATTCGGCCCCAACATTTTAGCTTGTCAAGGCATTTTTGGCTGCTACATCATCCAATGCGTTTTATCTGTTACTTCTATCAGGAGATGAGTAACATGTTTTCTCATTAGGCCTCTGAAATAGTGGGTTGGTCATTAAGCTGATGAGAGTTCAGAACAATAATACTCTATCACATTTATATGCCATTGCTTGTTTGTTGATTCCCCAATTTATGAGGACTCCCTCAGACGCTTGCTCTTTGAAACCTCAAAATAAGCTATATTTTTGTACATACTTGAGTTTTTTTTTGCTCAGTACTAATCTCTCCCTTAATCTACCCTCTTCTGATCCCCCCATCTTCTCTCCTTTCCCTCCTATTTATTGTTCAGTGACATCTATTCCTATACCCAACTATGTGTATTCCATTTTTTTTTTACTACTTTATATGAGTGAAGTTCAAATGTCAGCGGGTTCCCCCCATCCCCCATCCCTGCTTCTTCTTTATAAAGATGTGTACTTGTACACCCTGGTTGTCTAAGATAGTTTCCCCTAGCCTTCCTTTCCCTTCTTACTCCACCCTCCTCTCCAGTGTATTCATCTTCCTCTCTCTTTCCATTCTTTTCTTAAGACTCCTGATGATGTTAGTTAGGGTTCAGAGGAAATACGTGTATCATCTCCCCATACTTAAAAGTAATTTGTCTTTGTTTAGTCCTTTCTTTATCATTGTTCATTAATGTTTATCTTCTTATGTTTTCTCCTGGTTCTGGTGTTTGAACTTCAAAGATTCTCTGGTCTTTTCATCAGGAATGCTTGGAAATCCTTTATTTTATTAAAGATCCTTCTCCCCCCCCATAGAATTACACTCAGTTTTGCTGGTTAAGTTATTCTTGTCTGCAGGCCTATGTCCTTTTGCCTTCTGAAATACTGTATTCTAAGTTCTCTGCTCCTTTGTAATCGTAGCTACTAAATCATGGGATCCTGATCATGGCTCCCAGGTACCTGAATTCTTTCTTTCTGGCTGCTGAAGAGTCTCATAGTATTTCTCCTTCGACCTGGAAACTGTATCTTGGCCATGATGTTCCTGGGAGTTTTCCTTTTGGGGTTCCTTTCGGAAGGTGACCCATGGATTCTTTCTATTTCCTCCCTGCCCTCTGGTTCTGAGAGATCCGGGCAGTTTCCTTTTAAGACACACTGAGCTAGGATGTCTAGGCTCTTTCTTTGGTCGCCGCACTCAGATAGTCCAGTGATTCACATCTTAAGTTTTCTCCTGTCTCTGTTCGGTCTTCTGACTTTGCTTTAACACTTCTTGCTGCCCCACGGAATCGCTAGCTTCTGCTCGGCTCACTCTAGTTTTCAGGGAGTCTGTGGCTGGGTCGGGTTTTGTGCCGAGTTGTTAATTCCATCCCTACTGCTTTCTTCCACAGCTCTCGTTTCTTCCCCAATTTTTCCTCAAGTGCTTTCATTCCACTTATAAAAACACTTTACACTTGAAAAAAAAAGCTTTTGAAATGAAGCTTCCTCTCTCCTGTAGGCGTTCTGGTTGCTGTGTTTTTCCCTGAGGTTTTGCTTGTAGATCTTTTGGGGTCACTCCTGCCTTCTGGGTTTATGTCTTGAGCTTCCCTGCCACCGTAACGGCTCTTTACGGTGGGGCTCTCTTTTTTTGTTTGCTCATTCTCCCAGCCTGCTTCTTGACTTCGGACTTGATGTAAGGGCTGAAATCCGCAGCACTTCTGGAGGGAAAGTCTGGGCTGCTCCTGCCGTTTTCTTGGGGGTGGAGTGCTGGGTTATTCCAAGATCTCTGAAGCAGCTCAGGTGAGGATCTGCAAGATTTTGGTGCTCCCAAAGTGATCCAGAGCAAAGTCTGATTGCTGCTGCCCTCATCGGACCCGGGCCTGGGTCTGAGCAGGGGTACATGGAGCTGGACTCAGCCCTTCTCAGCCAGCTGGAAGATTCAGTTCAGAGTGATAGAACCGCAGGCTTCCCTTTGGCCTGAGAACTCTGCCCTGATTATTCCTCTAACTCATTCCTACCATTGAACTGGCAATCCAGAAACACAAATCCCATTCTTGGACACCTAAGTCAAGCCGTGCTCTACCATTTCCTCCAGCGGACTCACACCTAGGTGAAAAGTCTCTGGGCCATCATCTCATTTTTAGGTGGAGGGACATCATCCCACGCCTACACAGACCACAGAGATTGGATCAAAATATCTTAAGGAGAAGGGCTGGTATCTGGAACAAGAGTTTATTTTCTTCTCCTTAGGTTCTTAGCGTGTGCTGTGTGTTTGGCTGGTTCAGCCTTGTTCCGCAGCTTCTTTAGGTGAAATGTCTCAATGTTTCAAGGTTCTCATTGTTTAACTTCCCCTCCCACTTTGATACAACTGCATTCATTTTTCCCAGTAGAAGCTCTGCCCACTTGAACGGCAGATGCAGTCAAGCCTTTAGTGGCTTAGAAGGGATCTTAAATTGAACAACTGTAGTAAGTCATGCAAAGACTCTTAGCCTATTACTAGCAACAGACAGAAAACATGAGATGGAACACCAGACATGTTCATTTAAAAAAAAATTTATTAAGAAATGTCTCCAATAAATAAGTGCCTTAATTACACCTAAACAATTAGCCGGCCATATCACTAAACATCACATTTACTAGTAACCACGGGAGATCTGAAATTGAGCACGAGCCAACAAGAACTGGACACACTCTGTCTTGTGTGTTATGTCTTAAGAGTTTACATGGAAATTCTTCCTGAAAAGTCAAACTCCCAACATTCAATAATTAAGCACTTTAGAAATTTTTGCTATTTATAAATAAAGTTAGTTTCCAGAGAAAGCTCTCTGAAAATATTCTAAATGTTTACCTACATTTCATTACACTTTTACAACCGAAAAGGCCAAAATTTTTACCTTAGCCGAGCTGCACGTGTTCCCAGCCCCTTTCAGTCTGGCCCCTTCGTCTACCATTTAATTCACCCTGAGCAACGTCACCGTGACCCTTTCCAAATGGAAAGCATAGTATAATGTTTATTTTTAATCCCTGGAATACCTGATCGGGTTTACTAACAACACAACCTACACGTCAGCATCCTTGGTCCCAGCGCTTGCTGTGCATTCAGGCTCAGTTCCAGGCAATTCTGGGACGACCGTATGGCTAGAAAAGAGAGAGCAGAAATACCACTGAGCATTCCCACCATGGGCATTAGAGAACAACTCTCCTTAAATTCAAGGTAAACCACCCAGAAATCCAGAAATAAAAATCCAGAAGACACAACCGGGATGGTGAAGCGGCTTACATGAAGGGACTGGGAAGAGAGCAACAGACAGAGAGAAGATGGGGCAGGGGCAGGGTGGTTGTGATAACTGACTCTGAGCATGGGAAGAGATCAGCCCAGGTTGGCGTGACCCCCAAGGAGAAAACTGGGCCCAGGGGACAGAAGTTGCAAAGAGACAGATGAGCCTTGGCTTGAGGAGTGAGTGGCATTGAGGAAGAGGAACATTCTGCAGGCGACACAGTGCCCGCACCAAACGCTGCCCCGGGCAGAGCGCTACCTTGGACTGAAAGCCGCGCTGGCTCATCAGGCGCGCCTCCTGCTCAACCAGTCCCTCCCATAACTGGTCCTCGAGCCTGGCCTCCGCCTCCTCCTTTCTCTGCTGCTCGAGTTCTTCCTGGTTGTGGAGACGGCGCTCTGCGACCTGAGGGGCAGACGATGATGGTCAGACCCAGACCGCTGGGCCCGCACAGCATGGTCAGACCCAGACCGCTGGGCCTGCACAGCACATAGCCCAGTGGCCTCGGGGCCGGCTCAGGGCCGCGCTCACCTGTGACTCCAGCTCCCGTCTCCAGATCGTTTTCAGCTCCACTTCTTCTGCTCTTCCTCTCTGGGCCTCTTCCCTCGCCTCCTCCAGGCCTCGAATCAGCTGCTCGCGGCACTTCAGGGCTTCCTGCTGCGCGCGCCGATTTAGTTCAATCTTTTCTTGGAGCTGATGCTGTCTCTCCGCAAGAACCTGTCCGTGGACAGAGAAAGGAACAGCTCGCTGGAGAAGCCCGATTCCAGAAAATGGAGGCCAGAGGGCCTCCGACAGAGCTGGGCCAGGCCCGTCCCAGCCAGAGGGCGCGTCGACCAGGCGCCCTCCCTACCTCTTTCATCAGCCGGTCTCGAGCCTGCCTCTCTCTCTCCCACTCGGCCTCCCTCTTCTCCCACATCCGCTTGGCCTCTTCCCTGGAGGAGAAGATGAGCGTTAGCATCACCTATCCTGATCAGTCAGAGAACAAACGAGTTCAAAGGGCAGCGTTCTCGGCATTTGTTTTACTTCTGGGCCCACAAAGTCGACTTTAACCTCCCAGTGCTCTAAATCAAATCTCCAAAGGACAAGACTGTAAAAACAGCCAGCATCTTCAGAGGGAGTCTTCCATCCAGGCCTGTGTGCACGCTCCACACGTGAAACCAAGAAGCGTTTGTGATCAGCAAGCTAACACAGGACTCCCTTGATAAGAGCTTGCTTTCCTACAGGTTTCCCAATGCACACAGCGCTTTCCTCAAAACAACCCTCTAAAGCAGATGCTACAAACTGTTATTACTCTGATTTTACAGAGCAGGAAACTTGAGGCTCAGGCGGTTAAGTGACTTCTCTAAAGTCACACGGCCTGAAAATGGCAGAGCCAGGTCTTCTGCATCTTAGTCCGCTGCTCTTTCCAGCACACTGGGCTGCCTTCCCCTTTAAATAATCTAAAAACAAACAAGCACTTATTAAGTGCCAACTGTGTGCAAGGCATTGTGCTGAGTGCTGGGGATACAAAGAAAGGCAATCAGAGAGCCCCTGCCCTCAAGGAGCTCCCAGTCTAATGAAGCAAGACAACACACACACACACAAACACATACAAAGGAGCTAAATACGGAATAAACTGGAGATAACTAACAGAGGGAAGGCATGAGCATTATAGGGGTTCAGGAAGGGAAGCCAGCGACGCCCGGGGCAGGGAGAACGTTCCAGCCTTGGGGGACAGCCAGAGAAAGCGCTCAGAGCTGAGAGACGGAGGGTCTGATGGGAAGATGGGCCAGGAGGCCAAGGTCCTAGGACTGAAGCATGCTCGGAGGGAAGCAAGAAGAATGGAAAGGCATGAGGGGCCAGGGCAGGGAGGGCTTTGAATGCCCAAACAGCCACAGGGAGCTACTGGATTTACCGAGTAGGACCTGATCAGACCTGTGCTTTAGGACAGTCACTTTAGAGGCTGGGTGGAGGATGGCTTGCATCGGGGAGAGCTCCCCCAGCAGCTATGGAAGCTGTCCAGGGAGGAGGCAAGGAGGGCCTGCACTGGGTAGGGGCAGGGTCAGAGGAGAGATGATCCAAAGGCAAAAGCGGGGGGGCCTTGGCAAATGACGCCGCGCTGCCAAACAGAGCCCAAGGGAGGAGCTCGGCCCTCACCTGTACAGCAGCTGCAGCTCCGCTTCTCGCGCCCTCTCCACCTCCAGCTGGTCCTCGATGACTTGCTTCATCCACGCGGCATCCGCAGCTGCCTGCTCCCGCCGGGCTGAGTCCCGCCGCTGGTCCTCGTCTTCCTTCTCCAGAAGGGCCAAGAGGATCCGTCTGTCCGCCTCCTGGGAAAGGCCGGGATGGGCTTCAGACATTTCCCTGCCGTGCTCTGCGTGGCCGCAGACTCCCTGGGGACAATGCCCAAGTCTGGCCAGTCTCCATATCACCCGGGGTGCCTCGCACTGTGCTCCACACAGTGGGGACTCAGGACATGAATAAGCCAATGGTTTCCCGCAACGTGCCAAGAATGAAGAGCACCAATGGGTGAGCACTTCACAACCCCCGACCTCAGCCCTCGAGGCCCTGCTCCCCTCCCTTAGTGAACCACCGTCAGGGAAGCGGGTGTCACCTGACAATCCTGGAGCACTCGGGGAAAGGGGCAGGGAGGCCATGGCTACGTAAAGACTGGCGGGGCCTCTTACCAGCTCCTCTTGAATCTGCTGGGTGCGTCTGTTCAGCTGAGCGTTGTACTGGTGTCTCAAAAAGCGTCTGAACAAGAAAGGAAACACAAAGTGTATCGAGCCTTTTAGAAATCAGTTCTGCCTGGAGTTCTGGGGAAAACCCATGCTTCGCTATCCTTTGCCTGGTGTGTGAGAGCTAGTAATGGCTCAGACCCGGACGCCATCCCCACCCCCCAGCGCGTACCCCAGCTCCGCCTTCTTCCTGCACTCCTCCATGTTCCTCCTCTCTTCCTCCAGTAAGCCCAGTTCCCACTGGCGCCTCAACAAGTTCTCTTGTTCTTTCTTCAGTTTTGTTGCCTGTTGCCATAATAAAAATGAAGTAAAGTGATTTCTACCTCCCCTCTTTGAACAGCTCAGTCGCTGGCAAATACAAAGGCAGTAGCATCTAGTCAGGGCCATTAGGACCACACCCCAAGGGGCAGGGAAAATCAGCCCGGTGCCAGATCAGCAGAGAACTCTCTGAAGGAAAGGGACCCTGTCCTCCTCTCTCCCACCAGACACAAGCGAGGTCTCCTATTCATGTTCTCATCAGCACAAGAACTTGAGCTATCTAGAACCTTGATTCAGACTATTGCCAGGTCTCCCAACAAGCTACACTAAAAACCTCCTAGTAGGTTTCATCATGGCCCAGAGGTGATCCAATGCCTCTTGAAGGCCAGGCCAGTGGAACACAAGTTCAGGAATTTTTGATTAACCTGAAAAAACTCTGGATATGGACGCAGCAGCCAATGTATGTCTATAGTCCAAGGACCAGCCTGGCTGAGTTCAGAAAGAGGCATTACCAGACAGTCATAAAAACGGAAAGTTTTTAGCTACAGCAAATGTCAAAGACCATCAGCTTATGACACGGAGGGTTTGCGATCTGTGTCAACAGAGGGAGACCCCACCCCCAATGAAAATGCAGAAAATTAAAGAAATGAATCACATGTACATGCATGCGTATGTATACACGTCCATACATGCGTGGAGGAAAGCAGAGGTCTAGGGGAAAACTACTCCAGGTTCGAGGCCCCCTCAAATTGTGGAAGCCGGCACAGGGGCAGAGGCGGGGGTGGTGAGCGTCCACGCCTTGCCTGGGCACACGGGGCTCGGCCCTGCCCAGGCTCCTGCCGCTGCCTGCCCGCCTCGGGGGCCCCTTCACCTCCAGCTCCTTCAGCCTGAGCTCCTCCATCTGCTGGCGCAAAGCCTCCGCCTGCTGGCTGTCCTCCAATCGTCTCTTCTCTTCTGCGCGGGTCATCCGTTCCATGGCCTCCCTTCTGGCCACTTCATACTGGTTTTCAAACTGGATTTTTTCCTCTTTCTCGGCAGCTTCTTGCTAGACAAGTCAAACAACCAACCAACACCACTGAGTGGGGTGAGAGATGCCAAGCCAGGCCCAGCAGAACAGAACCCGACACAACAGACGCAGGACAAGCTAAAGCTAAGGAGACAGCAGCAGCGTCACTCCGCGTCGACGTGCGCGCCTGGACGAGGAACAGGCCGTGACTCGACGCCGCTCTTCGGCGGCATCAGAGGAGCAGGCGTGCAGCCCAGATCTGTGGAGGAGACCGAGGTTCTGGGCCTGTTTCTGCCCTGTGAAGTCTCCAACTCTCTCAGGTGCAATGTCCTCCCTTGTAAAGTAAGGAGACGCTCCTTTTGCTACCTTCCTCACGGGGTGGTTGTGACAAACACACTTTGGACACCTTAAGAGGTCACAGAAATGCACATTCTTCTCCTGACTGCCCGCGAAGGGGAGGAGGGAAAAGCTCTGTAAGGCCCCTTCTCACTCCTACAAACATCCCGCTTCGGGCAACAAGGAGTCCACTTGCTCCCCAATGCCCCACGGCCCGAAAGCCTGGGTCTGCTCCTGTACCTTCACCTAACGCTGCCTGCGGCATGATCTATCATAATACAAGCCCAATCTGACACGGACCCGAGCGCGTGAAGGTTTGCGGGGGGATTCCCCAATGCATGTGGTTTACGTGGCACTCACAGCCTCCTGGTGGGTTAGGGCTCGATCTAGTATCATCTCTGTCTTACAGGGGAGGAAACTGAGGCTCCACAAGGTGAAGGAGCCTGCTCGGACCCAGAGCCAGGAAGTGAAGGAAGCAAGTTTTGAACCTCGATCTCTCCTGACTCACTTCCAACACACTGTCTCCACCACATCACTTCCTTCAGTGAGCTGCGTGGCTCCTGCTCCCTCCCTTGAAAACTTGGGACGCACTCCAAGAGGCAGACGCAGGCCCTCCGTACCTGTTTTCTTTCTGACAGCTGAGATTCCCAGGAGTCGACCACATGTTTCCTGTGAAGAGCTGATTCGATCTGGAGACAGAAGAACAGCAGGAGGGTCAGAGGGCAGCTCCTCCCACTCCCCCAAAGCGTCCAAGAGCCCCAGTTGGGCTCGTACTCAATCACGATGGCTTTCCATGGGGAGAGGAAAGAAACAGGGTCTGAATGCCAGTGTTCCAGAAATTGGAAAGGCCAGTACAAAGAGGCCAAAAGCAAGGTCTGGGCTGCCTGGGGAAGCTGCGATCTGTTATACCCTCGAGCACAGACGAGGGACCACTTCTCAAGGATTCTAGAGGGGGGACTCATAAACTAGGTAGAGGTTTGGAGCAGATGGCCTCTGAGGGGCCTTCCAACACAGAGACTCAATAAATCAATCGATAAAAGGGAGACTCCAAGTCTACCATTCTATAACTGCAAATGTGCACAAAACCTATTAATTCAGATGGAACTGAAGCTTAACTCATTATGGAACGAAAACAACGTTCACTTCAACACCTTTTTTCGAGGCACACCATTCAAATGTCAAAAACTACTTGATTCAAACTAGCAGGGGACACAAATTAGAATAAGTTGGGCAAACTCAGTTTATCTACATGGGAAAGAGAACGGCACGATCCCCTCAGCTTTTACCTGTCGAAATCTGGGGTTAGTCTTCTTCCAGTGTTCATACAGAAGTTGTTCAGCAACCTGTGAAAAACATGCCACAAATGAGATGTGGCGAACTCCCAAATTTCAGCAACTAACAACAAACACCAGCTAAACTGGGGAAAGATCTCCAGCTCCCACTTATACTAGTGCAACAATCCTTTCACGGGTATCCTATTTCCATCATTCCACTCCGGAAGGAAGCAATGATAGCGACCTATCTGTGCAGAAGTCTCCATCAGCACTGATGAAAGGGCCTACTCATAGTCATGAGAAAAGGTGGGCTAGAAGTCTGGCCCAACACAGATGCCCTGCTCCATTCAGAAGTCTTTCAAAGCACTGAGCAGGAAGCAAAAATACTTAGGACTAGCAAATCACCATGGAATACCATCACCTTGGGAACACTGGAAATGGGAGCAAAGGGAAATTATTCTAAATGTCATTATGTAAACCAGATGTTGCCACGAACACTTTGATCGGCTCTCCTCTTGAAGAACTCGAAGCTCAGACAAGTGGAGGGCCCAGGAGCGGGCATGGCCCGCCGCCCCCCTGCCCCGCCTGCGTGCCCCCAGGTACCGTTTTCCTTTCTTGTTCTCTTGCCGACTTAAGTTTCTCGCTTCTTTCTCTCATGTCGCTCTCTCTCAAAGCCACATTCAGCCTCTTCTCTTTCAGTTCTTTGGTGAACTGATTCCTCTCCTCTGACAGCAGTTTACAGAGACGTTTCTGTCGTTCTGCCAAACTCTTTTTCTTTTCCTCCTTCAGTTTCTGCTGTTCGTATGCTTGCATGCTACTCAAGAAAAAGATCATCAAGATTAGCAATAGAATTGTGCAAACTTTGCTAGGACAGTGGTCTCCAAAATGAGGAGCGTAGCCCCTAGGGAATGCTCAAGACGGCCCAGCAGGGTGCAAGAAGGCAATTATTCTTATCAAAAAAATAAGAAATTAGCATCATTAAAACGTAACGTAGCTGGTCCCTGTGTGTCTCCTCCTTGGTCCGCGTCAGAATTCACATACGATAAATTCATGGGGAACCATGAGGGAAGAGGAGGAGTTTCACAAAGCACATGGACTGACAGCAGCACCCTCACGTGTTCATGGGCTGTCCACATCTTCCGACTTACTGCAGTTACCATGTTTGTGGTCAAATGGATTTAAAGATTATATTACATAATTTTAAGTCATTAACTGATTAACTAATAAAACTAAGCCACAAAATGGACACATAATTTAAAAAGAATTCTGCAAAGAAAAGTGACTGAAGATAATACTAATAATATGAGTCTGTTCAAAATTAGAAACGGCAGAGCTGACACTTCCTATTTTCGCTATGGGCTCGTCAGCCATATTACAAGGGAAAAACAACGGCGATCTAATCAGGTCTGACAAGGTCAGCCAGGGAATTTGGAAATTCTCAAGATTATCTGAAATATTTATATCCACTATCATTAATAGTGAACTTGATCGCGAATGTATGTCACGTCTTGAGATACAACTTATGGTGATACAAAATCACCATGATTGTAAGACATTTGAAAACTAGGCTTTTACTGCTGAAAATGTCACCTATAAAAACTGATCTGCTCATTTTAACTTGGAAACAGAATTTTCTAACCAGCTTAAGAATCATCCGGATGATTCTGGTTGGCCTGAACCCATACGTTAAAAGTATCAAAATCTCAGTTCTTCTGATTAATTTGCCAGAACTGATTGGCATCAGGAAAGACGGAAATTTACTAGTTGAATTACAACAATAACTGGTGGAGAGGATGAGAAAAAGTGGGAAGGGCCCTCAGACGTCACTAGTCCAACCTGTTCACTTAACAGCTGTAGAAACTGAGGCGGAGGGAGGCAAAGGGACCTGCCCGAGGTTGCCCAGGGAGTGTCAGAGGCAGGATTTGAATCCAGACCTTCTGCATCCAAGCCACTGCTCTTCCCACTGTACCATCCCTCTTCCATTTGAATCGATGAATATCTGTGAGGTGTCACTTTTCACAAGGACAACCAGCACACCCAAGTAACAGAACGAACTGAATTTAGTACCAGACTTTCAACTTGCAGAACCACAATGCATTAAATCAAGAGTTTTAAGAAACTTTAAAAAAAAAAAACATTCTTTTTTACTGTGAACATATCAACAGAAACATTTTAATATACAAATACAAGAGGAATGTATTGAGAAATTGTGGACTCTGCTAAGTATGTTTTTTTAAATTTAGCACAGCAGTAACCTAACCGCTCTGTGCATCGCCTTTTTGTTTTCTTCTCTGCATTTTTGTCTTTTTTTTTTTTTTTGGCTAGGCAATGGGGTTAAGTCAATTGCCCAGGGTTCACACAGCTAGTAAGTGTCATGCATCTGAGGCCAGATTTGAATTCAGGTCCTCCTGAATCCAAGGCTGCTGCTCTATCCACTGCACCACCTAGCTGCCCCCTTCTCTGCACTCTGAAAGGTTTTCTTGATGCCCGTCTTTGGCTCCCTATTCCTACCCATTTTCTCAGCCGCCTTCCTCTAAAGGGAAGCTCTCCCTGGCAACAAATATGTGCAATTACAACAAATCAGTGTCATCAGCCACGTCTAAGAACGTGGAGCTCCTTCTGCACCTGCATGCTTCATCATCAGCCTTCTAAAGTCACTGACAGGCCACTGCCTGGGTCAGACAGACCAGCAAGCAATCAAACTGTTCTCACTAAAAAGTATTACTAAGAGTGAGGGCAATTAATTGTTAGTAATTAGTGCGAACAAAAGGTTCTCGGTTCCAACGATAAATAAAATGATTTTAATGTGTTATTTATTTCATCTTTATTTCAGCATTTCAAATTCCTTTTGTGTCCACTTTAAAACGAATGATCTCTCGCAGTACAACAGTACATGCGTAGCATTTATAAATAGTCACAGGCACCCATCCTGGGGTATTCCTGACAGGGTGCTGGAAGGCCACTGCTCTAGAAAAGGCGACCTGCCCTTCGAGTCTCTACCACAAGCATCTTATGGCCACGGTGTCTCGGCCAGGCCAGAACCACCCACGATTACCTCTTCTGGTAGCATGTTCTTGAGCTCCACTGGGCCTGTTTAGAGCTCCAGACATCAAATTCTCTGAAATAGCGGCTGTTGATATCCCACTGCTGCCGAAATTGGGCTTCTTGCTCTCGTTGTCGCACGATCTGCCTTTCGAGCGCTCTGTTGCGGGTTGGCCAGCAGGACGGCATGGTAGGTAATGCCATCTGGGCAAAAAGGACAATTGAGGGGAGGGAGTTAATTACTGCAGGCCTGACGCTATGCTCATCACATAAGTCTTGTCCAATCAAAAGAAACAGGAGATCAAAAGACGTGGATGGTTTGGTGGCCTGCAAGCTAGAGGGGAAATGGGCATGACGCAGCAGCCCCCAAAGTCACTGTGCTCTCAGGCCCTGGACATAGGACAACAAAGGGGACACTCCCACTGTCCTGGGACCTGGTCAGACTGTGCTTGATCCCAGGTGCCCCATTTTAGGAAGGGCACTGACAAACTGGAGTGTGTGCATGGGAGGCCGTGCTCTGATGTCGAGGTGAAGAGTGTCCGTGAGCCTATGCCATGTAAACATCTGCTCAAGCAAATGAAGATGCTGAGCTCAAAAAGCAGAGCAGGGAGACCAGGAGAGCCGTCTTCACGATCAGAGAGGCTCTTAGGAAGAAGAGGGCGCGGACTTGTCTGGCTTGGCCCCAGAGGGCAGAATCATGGTGCAAAAAGGTAAGGAAGCTTCGGTTCAACATAAGGGAAAAAATGCCTCAGCCATCGGAGCTACCCAGACGTGGAACTGGCCATCACAGGAGGCAGTGACAACATGTCACTAGATACTGTCACGCAGAGTAGAGGCCCACATGTCAGGGGCGCTTTGAGGGCCTCCTGCACACATATGGACGGGATCAGACAGCTCAGTCTGCCCACGAAGTTGGCCACGTCTGGTTTCCAGGAGCATTATAAAGCCGCACCCTACATGAAGGGCAGAATGCTCCTCTTTCCTCATGACACCCTTTAGGTGACTTCTGGTGTTTATTTTTTCTTTAATGAAATGTCCTTAAGTTACCAATTCATGGCAAACCCAGAACATCAACATGATCATTATACACCTCACTACTACACCACAACCTAAGAAAAACCAGCATTTCAGGTGACCCAAAGGGCAAAGCAAAGATGCTCAGTGCATCTAAGAAGGCTGATGAGGAACAGTGTAAAAGACATCATGTCCCAGACGTGCACTCTGGACTAAGAGGGGCAGACCTTTGATGAGAGAATGGATACAAGCATCCACAGAACAGTAAAAGAGCCAGAAGAGGCCATCAGCGGCATGGACAGACGCTCTATGGGTAATCTAGAGAGGGATCTGGGCAGAAGCCATCAATGGTGAGGAGTGAAGGTCGTGAGCCCCCCCACACAGGGGAGCGCAGGACACGATGCTCTGTGAGAACCCGACATCCATCACCTCTGAGACACTCGCAGACTGGAGGGAAATGTCCCAAAGTGACAGGAAGCAGGAGTGGTTCAGAATCGCTATGGTCTGACTCCTATTTCTGAGCTGTATTATTTGACTCTAGGGGAAAACGGCTTAAGGCTCATCAAAGGAAGATACAACACTAGGGGCCGTGCCGTGGTGAACTGTCCATTCTCACTGCCTATTAAGGTGAAACATCCAGTTGCGTCTTTGCTCAAACCGTGCCTTTCGGACTCCCCGCCTCCAGACTTGGAGGTTGGCCTCCACCGTGACTGAACACTTCTGCTGGTTTGCCCTCCTCCCCTGCCCCTACCTGTAGCTGTTAAGTAATTCCTTCTTTCTCCAATCCCTCCCAGCGTCTAGTGTAGACTCTGACTCGCTCCCTATTCCATTCCGTCTTCTACGGGAGTTATTATCTGAATCCTGTCTCTGCTACCGGGCAGGAAGTTCTTAGACAGAAAGAATTCCATTTTATTGGTCTTTGTTTTTCCTCTCAGGACCCAGAAAAGGGCTTTGGATACAGCAAAGCAGCAAGATATAGTGGAAAGAACACAATGGACCTGGAGTCGGATGCCGGTGTGAGTCTTAACTCCCTCACCAGCTTCCTGTGTGACTGTGCCGAGTTACTTGACCTCTCTGATTCAGTGTATTCTTTTACAAAAAGGGGACCCTAAATGCACAGCCTGCCACCTCACAGGTCCCTTGTGAAGAAAGCCCATGTGATACAGAAATGTGAGCTACTATTTTACATGCTGTGATATTATTTCCAAAGTATTGAAGCTCTAGTTAAAAATGAGACACGTAGGTAAGAGAGACTGTGTGTCCATTGAGGTTGGATGCAGAATTTTGGTTAAATGTTAATTGAGTGATTTTGTGGGGAAGACAGGGTTTTTTGTTTATGTAATTGGGGAGGCTCTGATTTCACTGGTCCAGGGGATCCCCTCCCAAGCCCCTGAGAATTTCCTCCCCTAAAGTAGGTATGTAACTGTTCCACAGCTAACAGTCTCAGAGCACTGCCTGGCACACTGAGAAGCACCCAACAGCTCAGTTCATATAGGCCTGAAGGTCCATAGCCCTATATGTGCATTGCCTCATCTTATTTTCCCAAAGAGCCTTGGGAGGTAAGTGGGGTTGATCTGGGGGCACAGGACCTATGATTTCACTGGTAGAGTAAACTCCCAGTAAAGAAATTCCTTCTGGAAGAAACACGACTGCACATAAGCTCTGTTCCTTAGAGTCCCTTTCCTGTCTGCAGAAACCTCTGCCTTACACCGGCTCTTCTTGGTAACTCTGGGGAAACCCAACATGCCTCTCTTCACTCTTGGCTAGACTCCCTACTCCCCCCCCCCTACCCCCCAACTCCTCCACACCAGCTTTCTTGCCTGCCACTCTGGTATCTTCTCCTCCTACCCTCACGCCCTTTTCCAGCTCCCCTTTATGTTTTCTTCTCATCAGAATGTAAGCCCCGCACCGTGCCTGAAATATAAGTGCCCCTATCCTTCTCCTGTGCCGCCCCCTCCCCACACCCCACCTCTCGTTGTAAGGGGAGTACAGGCCACAATATCATCTCCTGGAGAAAAGGGGAAGAGTTTGGAGGGTTGACCACCTGGCCTTTCAAACAGGCCAGAAGAGACCCGAGGAAGAGATCTGGCATTGAATCCAGGCGGGGTTGCTCACTATCCATGTGACCTTGGACAAGTCAGTTTCCCTCTCTGGGTCTCAGTTTCCTCATCTATTAAATAAGGAGACTGGACTAGGTGAAGCCCAAAGTCTATTTCAGCCATAACATTCTGTGTTCATACGTTCTAAGTGCTCTCCCCGGCCCCACAAGAGATACCACGAGACCAGACCTTCAACACATTTCTTCTCAGGCACTCCCATCTCCAGGCTACGGAAGCTGGCATGAAGGCCCCAAGCCCAGGGCCATCACAAATGGGCCTCTGACGCCTTTCAAGGCCGGATATTCCTCTGCTAAGAAAAGTACCCTAAGAGCCCATAGAGCTCGAAGGGCTACCTAAGATCATCTAGTGCCTCATTTTACAGATGAGGAAACTGAGGCCAGGAAGGCAGAGTATCTTGCCTAAAGTCACCCAGGAAGTAAGAAAAATGGGATTCTGAACTCAGGTCCTTGGAATCCAACTCCAGTACTCTCTCTTTTATGTCACAGAGTCAGCCCAGAATCTGTCCAAATCACCTGGCTGTCTCTCACCAAACTCTCCAAAACGCGAGTTGATTTTTCTGTGCTTGTGTCAAACTGAAGCTGCTCTCCTCCTGACAAGACGTGTACTGAGTCGATACTAAAACGGCCTCAAATATGAATAGAGCTTTATGTATTTTATCTAAGGGGCATCACTTCTTTCTAACGAAGCACAAGTAGAGTATGTAAATAATGATGTGTGTATATACACATATGTAAGTACACATACATACATACGTATATACATACAGAGATAGATGTCTGCCTGTCTCTCTCTATATATGTATGTATGTTTTAAAATCACAGTATTTTAGGGCCTGAAGGGACTTTCTCTATCAAATTCAATCCTTCATCCTAAACGAGAAAATAAAAGCCACAAAAGGGCCAGTTCAGCATCAGAGAGAGAGTCAGTGGCAAAGCCAGGCCTAGAAGAAAAACCACCACTGCCATGTCACCAAACCTAAACCCTGGACGTCTCCCTTCTGCTCCTCCTCACGGGCTCCCGAAGGAAGCCCCCAACCCTGACTGCTGACTGGCATATTACAAATTTGAGCTACCCAGCCTCAACTGGGCCCTCACTGCAGCAAGGCAGTCCTTTACTCCTCCTTAATTGGTTCTTCATTGGCCCCCCGACAGCAGCTAGTTTAACCTTCTTTCCTCTCACATTCTCTCCCTCTTCTTGGGCTTAGCTAAGGACTTGCCTACTACTACTGAGAAAACTGACGGAACTCCTCCCAATTACTTCATGTCAAAATCCCTTGATGTCATGTCCTCCCCTCTCCTTTTTCCTATCTCCTCCTCCCTTCTCTAGCAGATTACATCCTCAATCATTCCCCCTTTCTGGACTCGTCATCTTCTACCAACTGGTTCCCTCCCTACTGTCTTCAAACACACCTGTCTTCCCACCCTAAAAAGACCTTTAGTTGGAGGGGATGTGGGAAAACTGGGACACTAAATACACTGCTGGTGGAGTTGTGAACTGATTCAACCATTCTGGAGAGCAATTTGCAACTATGCCCAAAGGCTTTCAAATTCTGCATAGCCTTTGATCCAGTGATACCATTGCTAGGTCTGTATCCCAAAGAGATTAAAAAAAAAAAGGGAAAAAATTGTATAAAAATATTAATAACAGCTCTTTTGTGGTGGCTAAAAATTAGAAATTGAGAGGATGCCCATCAATTGGGAAATAGCTAAACAAGCTGTGGTATATGATTGTGATGGATTATTATCGTCCTGTAAGAAATGATGAGCAGGATGATTTCAGAAAAACCTGGAAAGACTTACATGAACTGATGCAAATGAAGTGAACAGAACCAGGAGAATGTTGTACACAGTAACAGCAATATTGTTCAATGAAGAACTGTGAATGACTTAGCTCTTCTCAGCAATACAATGATCCAAGGCAATCCCAAAGGACTAATGATGAAGCATACTCTCCATCTCCAGAGAAAGAACTGATACTGGCTAAATACAGACTGAAGCAGGCTATTTTTCACCTTCTTTCTTTCTTTTTTTTTTGAGTCTTCTTGTACAAAATGACTAATATGGAAATGTT